TTTTTTTTCTAGCTAAACAACTACCAAACTAAATCAACTTTTACTAAATAGATATAAAATTAGGCAACACATTAAAATTTTAGCCAATTTGAATTAGTAATTTTTGAAAAATTGTTTAAAACTAAAAACAATTTACTTATAGTTTTAAAGCAAATTTTTATAAATTATTAATTCAAATTGGCTAAAATTTTAATATATTATAGTTTAATATTATATTTACTTTTAAAAATTTTAGTTTAGTGGTTGTTAAGAAAATTAGTTAGATATACAAATTTAATTTATTGGTTCTTATAATATAAAACTTTTTAAATAAACTTGGCTAGCTAACTTTTTTTTATTTTTATTTAATAATATCGTATAAGAAAACAAGCTATTACATATTATAGTAATATAAATATAGAATAAACTAGTAATATTTCTTATAACTACACTAATGTGTGATATTAAACTTCTGAATTCTTTATTAATAACTAATAGTAAACTATTTTGCTTGCTAAATACAAATAGTATGGTTTAGATAAAAAGGGAGGAGAACTTTTAACTTTTTTTTTAATTTTATATATATTAATTTTATAATTTTTTTTAAAAACTTACCTGGTTATTAAAACATATAAAATTTAACTTAGTTAGATTATAAAAACTAATTAATTAACTTTGTATAGCTTTAATATAAAATTATATTTTTTTAATTTTTTGTATTATATATTTTTAATATTTAGATTTATATAGTTTTTATTTTTAATATACTTAACTACTTGAAATTTTTACTAAAGATGTATATAATATTAAATATAATATATTAAAATTTTAGCTTTTAAATATTTTTTTAAGAACTACTAATTTAAATTAGCTAAGATTTTTATATTTTATAACCTAATATTATATTTTGCTTTAGTAAAAATTTTAGTTAATTTAGTATAGTAGTTGTTAAAAAATTAAAGCTAAATATTAATATATATATTAATAAACAATAATACTAAATCATACTACTAATACTTAACACCAGTATGTAGTATAATGTGAAGATTAATTAAAAAAAATAAATAAAAAAAATAAACAAATTAAATTTAATAAATATTAAGTTAAAGTTAATAGTTAAAGTTAGGGTAAAGTATAGTATATAATAAAATTTTATAAAGATTTTTTTTTTTTTAAAAATAAGATAGTTTTATAGATAAATTTTTGAATTATTTTTTAAACTGTCTGTTTTAGCAAATAAATTTGTTTGCTAAAATAATTAGACAAAGTAGAATATTAAAAAAAATTTTTTTATAAAAATCTTTATTCCAACCAACTATAATGATTTTTAAAGGCCCAAACTATATGTTATACTCAATAGCTACAGCGTAGCATACTTAAATGATTCAAACAAAGGGTATAAGTTTACACAATAGCTTCAAAGTGTGCTATTTTATTTAAACTTTTGAGTTATATTATTTTTCTCATATTGCCTGAAAAATTGGCTCTATAAAGTTGTTTGTAAAAAATCTTTGACCAACTTTAATTTTATATTATAAAAGGTACCTCTACATGACAATCGTAAAGATTTTTTATAATTGTTACATAACTATACCTTTTTACTATTAAATTTGATTATAAAAACTATATAACAATCAACCCTATTTAATTAATATTTGGGGAAGTGTTAAAGAAATTGTACAAGATAAGAATTACATCTAGCATATTGTATACTTTTATTCTAGTTTAGAAAATATGAGGGTGTGTTTTAATAAGATTAGAGCAATTGTAAAAAAATTAGCCAAAAAACATTTTAGCAGACAAATTTGTTTGCTAGATAGTTTAAGAGATAAGATTTTTTTTTTTTTTTAAAGAAATGCAGAAAATTATATAATTTTTTAGAAAGGAAAGAGGGTCTCTATTTTATTATGCTCTATATATACATATATAGTCAAATAGCCAATAATATTAAAGTATTTATTATATTAAAAATTGGCAAAAATACAATAGAAACCTGTCGCTATGTGACCTTTATATGATCGATTAATTATTTTAGAGATTGGTGATCTTATAAATAATTGTTTTTTTTTTTTTTAAACATATATTTTTTTTAATACATATATTTTTTTTAAAGCTATTGCTGGAGTCATTGCAGTTGGAGCTATCATGAGAGCCATAGTTGGAGCTATAATTGGAGTCTCAGAACTGTCTTGAAGTCACATAAATTTCTCGTTACTTTGGTAATTCAGTAGGTTTTTTTTATTTTCTTTTATATTTTTTTTTGTAGTTTTCATTGTTATTTTTTTCTTATATTTTTTTGTAGGCTCTTTATCATTGAAGCCTCAAAACTGTATATCTTGAAGTTATATGGATTTCTCATTACTTTGGTAGTTCAGTAGGTTTTTTCTATTTTCTTTCATATTTTCTTCATAGTTTTCATTCTCCTTTTTTTTTTAGTCTCTTTGT